GTGTGTGTGTGTGTGTGTGTGTGTGTGTGTGTGTGTGTGTGTGTGTGTGTGTGTGTGTGTGTGTGTCAGTCAACCTTTTGAGTTAATATGAAAGTGACATAAGAGTAAAAACTATTTTTTTTTAAATCTTCTTTCCTCAGGTCTTTGGTCATAATCAGTACATTGGATGGTAGAATTTCAGCCCTGGATCCCGAGAATCATGGGAGAAAGCAATGGGACCTGGACGTGGGGTCGGGGTCTCTTGTGTCATCTAGTCTTAGTAAACCAGAGGTACGTTTTTGTTCTTTATTGCTTTGAATAACCGGGAAACAGTTAAAGGCATAATCTGCACTTAGGGGCAGCAATTAGCATTTTGTGTACCATTGCGACAATACATAATTTATCATTGCATGTGACCTAAATATTGTGCTGTGTTCAAGGTTTGTGCACGGCCGTTTGACATTGTTCTTAACCCCTTCACGAATGGAGACGTACACTTTGTCTCCATCGTGAAGTGCCCAACTGACTGCTCATGTACACTGCAGAACTGTGGTGACATAGCGACCGGTTTGTGAAAGTGGTACACAATGGGGACGCAGACGTCTGACAACCCCAGAAGTGTCTTTCCATTTTTATTCTGGAGACAGAGTTGCTTTGTAATGGAAAACCGGCTCACGTTAAACTGAACATTGCAAAAATATTTGCTTGCTAATATCAGTAATAGAGTCCCTTTTAGGACAGTGCACCGAGTCCTGAAGGAAAATGAGCTCCTCCTATTTTTAGTCCTTGCTCATGAAGACCAATTAGAATTCTTCTGTTTTTCAATATAATGAAACTTGATTGGTTACTATTGGCAATATCGCCAGTTTTGTGCTTCACCATTGCAATTCCGATCTTTTTGGGGGGCTGAAAAGAGAATTGATTTCTTAAAATGTGTCTTATTTTTATTTATCGGACATCACTGGAGATGGTTCTTGTTGTGGCTGTTTGTGAAAAATGAAAATACGGTTTTGTTGAATGACATTCCATAGAACCAATCATTGCACTGGCCTGATCAGTGTTGCGATAGTCACCTGATTGATGGTAAGTTTAGGATTAATCTTTATCTGCTCAAGATTAATCGTCCTTCTATTGAAGGGAATGAACATCATCGCTTAATCCTTATCTGTCATGGAGCTTAATTATGTCTGTGCTGGAGTGTGACCCTGTGTGTGTGTGTTTGGTCTCAGATCCATTTAATGCACAGCATTCTGCTAGTCAGATCTGGTGACTCACTGGATTAAGAGATGAGGTAATGCTGTATACAGAGGAATGAAGTCATCCTTCACCTGCAGGGTCCTCCACTCTCTGCAAGTGCCCTTTACCTTCCCCAGTCTCCGGAGCCCATACAGAGCAGCGTGGTGCCACAGCGATCTGATTCATAAATATTCAAACACTCACAGACTGCGTGAACCACCGTCTGAGCGCATCTGTTCCATTCTCCCAGTACAGGAAACACATCTAGGCTTTTGTCTGCATTCTTTATCAGGTTTAACCTGGTCTTCCCCAAGTGGCTCCGTTGGCTAACGAAGGGGGGAGGGGTCCGGTAACGTCTATGTCCGTGACGTCACAGGACTCCTCCGCCCTTCCCTTCGTTAGCCGGCGGAGCCACTTGGGCTGGTGATCTGTCGACACTTATCGAATTCTGCGACCGCCTGACTTCCGGTTTCGTTACAACTAAGGTTTGCCCAAGAAACTTGTTCTGCACCAGCCAAGGCATTGGCCTATACACAAACAGCACAGCAATGAAGTAATAAAATGAACTAGGATCACACTAATCCAGCACGTTATTATTCTGTTGCCCCACTCAAGCGGCGGCCATATTGAGTGGGGCACGTGAGATTAATAACGTGCTGGATTAGTGTGATCCTAGTTCATTTTATTACTTCATTGCTGTGCTGTATGTGTATAGGTCAATGTAGTTGGATCTGTATGTGCGTTATAATTAATCGGTTAAAAAAAAAAATTCAACCCAAGTCGTACGGCATTGCGATTGAACTGTGGGTGGGAGGTGTGCATGGGGTGCCATTTCAAATGAATGGCAACGCACCTCCCTCAACAGAACATGTGGTGGGTGGGTTTGCGTGGTACAGTGTTCATCGCATGGGACTGTGAGATTTATCGCACTGTACTATTGTTTTCGGGCCCTCAAAAACAGACTGACGCACACAACCAGATACAATCTCACACAGTCCAAAAAAGGTTGAATTATTTTTTTTTTTTTAAACTTTTAAGATCCACCCAGTCTCCTTACCTTACGAGAACTGGTGTGGCTACTTAGCCTGGGGTCCAGTGTGCATTGCTTGTACACCTCCCTTGCGTGCCCTATAGAGGTGCTCGGAGCTCTGGTCCAGGCACCTCTACAGGGCACACAGGGGAGCTGTCAGCAATGCAGGTATGGATGGAGTTCCCTCGCGGCCATATCCTCATCCCACCCCACCTCAAGCTGACACTTGGCGTCGGCAGCATATTTTGAATGGCTGCTTGCTGCAAGAACGGACATTCCTGAGCTATAGGGAGGCTGAGGAGCCACTCATCTAGTGCAGTAGAAGGCAAGCGGCAACTGACTTTTGGGTCATGATACTCCATTTGAGAACCACAGCCTTAGATAATACAGAATCCCCTTCCAAAATACGGTGTTGCTAGAAAGTGTGCCCGTTCATTGAATGGACTGAATAAGGAAGGGCGCATCATGGTAGTAGCTGACAACACAGAAGTGTGTATTGGTACAGAGGAGGGCAGAACAGAGCCAGGCGTTGGTGCAGGGGCGTATAAAGTGAGTGAAGCTTTTGGCTTGTGTCGATTTGGCATCGGTTTGAGACACTTTGGAGATCATTCAGAATGTATTGACCGGTGTAGTTGACCTGCTTCCAGCAGGTTTTACATTCCTATAGACTTGTATAGGAATTCAATACACATCTGACAGAAAGAAAATCCCATCAACCTTGGTCCTAATTAGAAAAAGACTAGATGCTGAGAGTCTAAGGTCAATAATGGTGACGAATCCTTTTCCCTCTGACTTACCATTTTGTGAGCACATCTTATACTAGCGGTAGGCAATCTCGGCACTCCAGCTACGCTGAAACTACAAATCCCCATCATGCTTCTGCCTCTGGGAGTCATGCCTGTGGCTGTCAGTCTTGTAACACCTCATGGAACTTGTGGTTCCACAATACCTGGAGTGCCGAAGTTGCCTACGCCCTGTCCTATACAGTTAATTTCCTCTCTAACACCATGTAGTTACCAGAATACAATGAGGGGAATTTATCAAAAAGGGAGCAGGCAGAATCTGGAGCAGTTGCCCATAGTAACAGATCAGCTTCTCTGATTCATTTTCTAAGCTTAGCTGAACAAACTAAAGAGAGAAGCTGATTGGCTGCTGTGGGCAACTGCTCCAGATTCTGTCTGCTCCAATTTTGATAAATAATCCCCGGCCCGGTTTTCTTTCTTTTAATAATGGTCCTTTTTAAGTGTAAATTTTAATTATAGGTCCATAACTCACTGCTATTAAGCATTTTACTTTATTGATTGTTTTTATTGTATGTACACATTTATTGAATACAACTAATAGAAATGAATTTCTCAGACTTATTAATGGACTCGAGCGTTTATTCTGAGTTCTCTGTTTTTTATATATTCCTAATTTTCTATTCTCTCTTGTCCTAGGTATTTGGTAATAAAATGATTATCCCCTCTCTGGATGGAGATCTCTTTCAGTGGGATCGGGATCGAGAGAGTATGGAAGCCGTTCCGTTCACAGTGGAGTCTCTTCTTGAGTCGTCCTATAAGTTTGGTGATGATGTTGTGTTGGTCGGTGGAAAGTCCCTTACGACCTATGGGCTGAGTGCGAGCAGTGGCAAGGTGGGTCCCGGCCTCATCTCTTTTTTTCATATCTTTTGTCTTTGGACAGCTTTGAGTGAAGCTTGTGTAAGTGTTGGCATATATCATGCGTTATACAATTTTTTGCTCCAGGTGAAATATGTCTGCTCAGCGATGGGCTGCCGTCGGTGGAATGAAGAAGATGTTGAGCAGGATGATGTTCTTTTGTTGCACCGGAAGCAGAAAACTGTGCGTGCTGTGGGGCCTCGCAGTGGGAGTGAGAAGTAAGTGAACAGACATGAGATGTTCTTATGCAGTATGTTAGCTAGTCGTGTGAAAAAGAAAGTACACCCTTGTGGAATTCTATGGTTTTAAACAAGGCAGCAGCTAGCGATTATTTTCATAATCGATTAGTTCGCCGATGTATTAATTTTGATCGGATAAAATAAAAAAAATGAATACTGTCATTTATTTAAAATACACAAATGCAGCGTTGCAGACATCAAGTTTACTGCAGAATAAAACGTTATGCAAATTTTTTGGAATTGCACTGCACTGGAACGCACGGAATTCTGGTATTGTGCGTTCTTGTGTGGGCGATCACACTGTGGATGGGAGGTGCTTTTGGGATCCATTGGCACCGCAACGCACCTACTGCTGCAAAATTTTGTCGAAACTGGAAATGACTTTTCCCACTAATATATATATATAGGTCTCTCCTCCCCGCTGGTGCCTCTGCAGCGGTCTGTGTCCCTGCTGCCTCTGCCGACACAGGTGGGTAGAGCAGCTGGGATTGAAAGGGACACAGACCGCTGCAGCCATCACCAGTGACGAGGAGAACGGAGGAGCAGAGCGACACAAACTAATCTAAAACCAACTAATTTAGTTAAAAATAGACAATAAAGGTGATCAGCGCCAGTAAGTGTAATGTGGAAATAAGAGCTACCAAGCACTAAGGATATAACTAAATATCTGGAAAACGTGAAAAACAATATTGTGCCGAGCTAATAATCGTACATATCTAATAAATTGAAACATATATAAATGAGTCACATATATGAGCATTCAAACAAATGAGGCATAGAAAATATCTACACACAGACAAAAAAGCAATATAGACAATAAAAAGTCTCAAGGAAAAAACAAAAACAAACAATGGTGGTTGTGCAAAACAATTCCTCAGATGATTCGCAGCCAATGTGCATATAACTCTCAGGTAAGGATAATCACACAATGCAGGCAGACCTTCACCTCCACCAAGTGAGTGATGACATCAAGTGAGTGCTCACCTGGTGAGGTAGACCCACAGAGCTAGGTCAAATGCGCTTTTTCCCTTCTTAATGGGAGAGGGAAGCCCATGCACAGATAAGGTCTCCTCAGATCACAGGTACCAGCATAAATCCAGGTGGAAAGAGAAAAAGGACAAGGACATAGTGCGTAACGTCCAATAAAATGCAATTTATTAAGTAAAAAATGCGTACTCACAATGATATAAACAGTACAGGCATTGGGTATTGCTGGATCAGACCAGCAGGGCAAATGGCAGCAAAGCGATAAAAAAACCTGTTCGTCCAGCTCAGCTCAGTGCGGTGACATCAGAAGCTCTGCCCTACGTACGTTACGTCAAAAAACGGGACCCCTGATGAAGTCACGTGTTTTGACGTAACTTACATTTTTTTTTAAGCTTTGTTTTGTTTTTTTATGCTTTAACTTTTTTAAAACGTCTTTTTTTTTTTTTTTTACACTTAACTTATTGCTATCACATTGGGGACTAAGAAATCCCCTATGTCATAGCCAATTTACATGACCAGTCCTCTTTATGGAGACCTTGGGTGTCTCTAAGACCCCTAAGGTCACCTAGGGACCCCCAGAGAAGCTGATGAAGCAGAGATCTGCTTTACCAGCTTCTCACCGGTGTTCTGTACTGGAGAGTGACACTGAATGCAGGAAGTGATGTAATGTACATCACTTCCTGCATTCGGGGACAGGAGAAGAGATCAAAGGGAGATTGTGTCCTGATCTCAGCTTTATGTGCCATGCTGGCTGAAGCAGGCTGTGTGTTCTGCCCCAGTTACCACTGTCGCCTGCGTGCAGAAATAGTTTTTATAGCTATATGTGTATCTGTATGTTGCTTTCTGGAAAATAATAGAGCAGAAGTCTGAGTTTATGGGAGACAAGTGCAGTGCGATTTTATATTTGACATGCTTTGTACTATAGGTGGAATTTTAGCGTTGGGCATTTTGAGCTGCGCTACATCCCAGATGTTGACCCAGTAGTGGGGTTTATTGGAGGCCAACTGGAAGCCAGCGGGGGCACAGACGAGTCCAAAATCATTTCTGATGTTGATGAGCAGGAAACTGGGACAAATGATGTCGTCATCAAGGTGTCTGTCGCTGATTGGAAGGTCATGGCCTTTAACAGGAACCTGGGAAACCTAGAGTGGGAGCACCAGGTACAACCAGCACTGTGTATTTGCTGAATGAAATGAAAAACAGGATGTGAGTGTCTCCAAACCCAAGTACAAAAATTAGATTAGAAAGACATATTTTTCCTTCGCTTACCAGCTGTGGTTTGCATTTGTTTTATTTTTTTAATAGGTCCTCCCAGCAGGTGTTACATATGCAACATCTCACTCGGTTCAGGTAGTTTGGGCTATAGACTCTTTGACCCTTTTCTGCTTTGGAAAGTACAAGCAGCACCGTTGGTAGGAATCAGTAAGGGCCGCTTCATTAATATGCTTTGCCTTACCACATGCATGTGAGCGTGTGTTGCATTAATATATAGTTACATAGTTACATAGTATTTGAGGTTGAATAAAGACATTAGTCCATCAAGTCCAACCTATTAGATAGTCCATTAATTCTTAATAGACTGCCAATATGCAATGCATGTTGAGGTGCAGATCAATATAAATGGCACCACGCTGCTGTTTGCATGCTACCTTGCGTTGCCACACTGTGCGGCAAAGTTAGAAACTTTTATGTGTGGTCATAAAGTTCAAAAAGAAACTGCTTGATAAGGATTTTTATGCTAAGCAAGTGACACTTTTACACAGTTTATCAAACAATAAAATGGGTGGTATATCCTGCCTGTGTCTCGATAAATAAAGTAGATTGGTTTGTATGCATTTCCTTCAGCGGTCTAAGCCCTCATTTGTCAGTAGTCTTCCGAATCTTTTCAAATTATAGATGCTACCTTTTTCATATGGTGCCTGAAAATGGAAATGTCTTGTTCTTTTATAGTTCTGCACTCCAATTGCTTCAGCCTGGTTGGTCAGAGATGGTAAGGTCTTACCTATCAGTCTCTTTGATGACACAAGTTATTCATCAAATGAGGATGTTCTGGAAGATGAGGAAGATATTGTGGAAGCAGCTAGAGGAGCTACAGAGTCCAGTTTTTACTTGGGTAAGTGCCAGAGCTCTGTGATCTATAGGATTGAGTGTGAATGTGTGACTTTTGCACCTCCCGCAGCAGAATTTATCGTGCTGAAACACAAAAATAACTTCTTTTTTTTCCCACCTTTTTTTATAATTGTTTTATTTTATATAGTTGTAAGCACATGGCACTTGTAAAGCTTCAGCCAGCTAATGACAGCTGCCAGTGGCAAGAATCCACAGACGGCAGCTGAATGTAAATGCAGCAGGTAGTGGGCTGGTGCAATAGCCAGCCTACTATTGGCCATTTAAAATTGTAATAGCCAATAGAAGGCTGGCGCTTGCACCCGCCCACTGCTGTGCCCTCCACCCAGCGTGGAGAAGAGAGCTAGGGGATCTAACTAGAATAGTTGACAACTATTCTCATAATTGATTCGTTGGTTTCAGCCCAATATGCTAACATTGAAGGGTTTTTGCAAGTGGCTGTACAGTTTGAATTCCTGTGTATTTCCCCTTCTAGGGAGCCATAGGTGCTGCATACAGCCTGCCAAATAGGTCAATGGCTGTACACTGGTACAGCCGGACTTGCATGAACTCGCACATATGTGCCTGCGCACAACTCCAAACTCCCATTGTGCGTCAGTGCATACTTGTGTTTACAGAAGTCCAGGAGTATACCTGCATACAGCCATTGACTGCTATGAGAGGGCGTTGGCAGCCCCAGTGGCTCCCTGGCAGGCAAAATACGCAGGAATTTAGGATACATGGCCAAAGGTGTCCATGTGCAAGAGCCCTAATGTGCTATTTCATTTTCTATCCTACTTTCTTTGATGTGAGTAACCTGCAACTTTAACTTACTTCTACCATTCTTATGCTGGTCAAATCTGCTTCTCTCGTATGAAGGAAGTTTCAAGGTGATGTTCGCCATTGGTTGTTTTGTAGGAATGTATCGTGGGCAGCTGTATCTGCAGTCATCTGTCCGAGCGTCTGAGAAATTCCCAGTTAATCCCACAGCCCTGGATACAATGAAGGATAAGCATGCCATTATATCACTGCCAAGAATCAAATGGAAGCCACTGATTCGTAAGTTCCGCTTTATTTGTTGTCTTTGTATGCTCCTGACCAGTTCAGAATAGAATGCGGCAGATAAAAGAAATTAACAGAAGACTTGGTATAATTATGTAATGAAGATTTACTTGAAGAAAAATAAAGCAAAAAGCTACTTCTCCAGAATTGTCAGTAGCAGGGACCGGCTCAGACATTTAGGCCTCATTCACAAGAGAAAAGGCCGGCATGCACAGCTCTGTGCTGTGTGAACGGCCGTATCGGGCAGCTCCCAGGAAGGACAGGTGTTGCGTGTGATTAGTTAGCAGCCCCTGTCCTTCTCTATGGTAGTACGCGGCCGTATGCCGCCCTACGCTCACCCCCAAGTGCAGGTTCATACGTGTGCGTGTGTCCCGGCTCGGAGGCAGACAGGATGGATCCCATGTCCTTCTTTATGGGAGTACGCCACCCTACGCTCACCCGCCCTGCACGTCCGTACACATACGCTGACGGGATGGATCCTGTCTGCGTCCGAGCCGGGACACCCGCACCCATATGGACCTGCACATGGGGGTGAGCGTAGGGCTGCATACGGTCGCGTACTCCCATAGAGAAGGCCGGGGGCTGCATACTAATCACATGCAACACCTGTCCTTCCCGGGAGCTGCCCGATGGGGCTGTACACGGAGCTGTACGCGCCAGCTTTTTCTTGTGTGAATGAGGCCTTAATCAGGGTGGGCACAGACAACACAATATTCTGGGTGTTTTCTTTAGGGGAACTGCTCATTTACATATTGGCAGCCCTTCCAGCTTCAGGAACTGAACAGAATGATCAGATTATATTTAGGATGTTGGGACTTCTGTTCTTTATGTAGGGATTCATTATAAAATGGGTGACCTCTACTGATGGTGCATGTACTCTAGAACTTTAAGTGTAGCTGCTACTCATTGACTTGGAGGAGAAGGGTGGAAAGTCCCCACAGCAAATTTCAACATTTGTGACCTTTTAGCTATTTAAAATTGCCTATGACGGATGTAATGAAACTCTGGAACAAACCTGACCTGCATGGAACTGAAGCTGTCATGTTTGATACAAAGACTTTGCTTCTGATGTGCAAGGAGACTTTTGATACTTTACGAGCTTTGTAGCATAGAGCCAAGAGGGGGATATTGCTTACTTTGCACATCACAGAAGAAAATATGGGCTGTCTTATCAGTTAGGCATTCACTTTCCAAGCTGCAACCAACATCATGCAATGAAGGTGCCCGCCTTTTATACCAAAACATAGCACCGTTCACTTACTTAACAAGATGAACGGGTCGCCAGAAAAATCAATCTAAATGGAAAGATGGGATAGGGATGTGTTTGAACTTCTGTCAGGTTTTTGTACTTTATATTCTCGTACTGTATATCAGGAATACAAACCTGCCAGGGCTTTACATTTTCCCTGTTATCCAAGACACAAAACATTTGGCCTGGGCTTCTACATTGTGATTTCTAGTAACTTTTTATTAGATTTGATCTTCTTAAATTAAATAGTAATTAAACCCTCACGTGTTTGCTAGCAAGCAGTAGATATATGCAAAAACATTTTAAAAAAAAACGTTTAAAAAGGGTTAACGCTCCCGTCCGAACAGCTGATGTGTCGGACGGCCGCAAAGCATATGCAGTTAAGATGTTCGGCCGGGAGACGAGGAGAGACACAAGGTAAGTCTATGGAGCAGCGTGCACCCGCACAGACTCCAAATGAGGAGTACAGCAATGGGGCATTGTCTGTTCTGCAGTATCCATATGGTAAGTTTACATCACGCCTATTTGTCTATACACAATGTTTTATAATTATTGTAACATTTTTTTTTCACCCTCACTCTTTTGTGAAGCTGTACAGAGCGCCACCATCCTTGTTCTGAACTGTTCTGTATTTAATATATTAAATGGTCAGTCCGGCCAAAACTGATGCTCTAGTTTTTCAGGCAGGGTGGGTGGGAACAGAGCTAGGGAGATTTCACTGCTGGGATCCCTAAGAACATAATAAGCCAGTCAGAAGTATTAACCCAGCAGACTCCACCTGCAGCTGAATTATTACATTCGGGTGAGCCGACCTGTAAGTGCTGTGTTAGGATTTTGCTATAAATCTGTTATCCAGCTGGCATCACTATTTTAAAGTGAGCTTAAAGTAGCATTAACGTCTGGGTGTTTTTTACCTTAATGCATTTACTGCATTAGGGTAAAACAGCCCAGCACCTTTTTTTTTTTTTTTCTACCTCAGTCTTACCTGTCAGCTGCGCTCTTCCCCGCCGCCGGTCCCGAAGGGATCCTCCGTACCCAGGTTGCGGGGGAGGATACTGATGGCAGTGGAGCCATAGGCTCCTTCTGCCATCAATCAAAGAGGGAAGGGGCGTTGCCTGCTACAGGGCTGTGTGTGGGTCTATGGACGCACACAGCTGCTGCGGGCACGGGTGCCTCCATTAGAACGATGGTGGCACCCGTGCGGGGGGCAGGGGGAGGAGCATGGCGGGGACCCACTAGAAAACTTGGAATGAAGTACTTTTAAAGAAAAAAGCAACATCCTCCAACAAAGGACGATCTCCTTAAAGGAGAAATAAAAAAAATTGGCTTTTAATATCACTTTAAGGGCTTCTGTCAAAGGAATTTACATACAAAAAAACAAAGCACAACACCTAGTGTATTATTCGTGGGATAAAGCTAAAATAAATGGAAGAAAATGCTCTACACTCATAGATGTAATACAGGGATGGCATGGATCGGAATGCTGAGCATCAGTTAAGAAGCCAGATAACTTCTCGCCTGTGTTAAGCACTTTAAACTCTGGGTAGGCGAAGGCAATGATCCTAGTAGCAAGAAAAGGAACAAAAAATGACCAGACCCCTGATCGTGGGTGAAACTAAAAACACTTTAATAAATATAAAATCAATACTCACAAAATTGATGGCGAGCGAAGCCTTGATGAATCACTGCTACATGATGTTAAAAGCTCTAACACCTAGATGTATACATTCTGGAACTTTAGTAGGTCCTTGGACGGGTGTGTATCAGCAAACAGACTGACCAGCACCCTAAAGGATTTGATCTGTTCATATATACAGAGTTCTTTAGGCAGAAAATGATCTAATCTGAGAAAAATGCAAGGTGGAAATTGGCATGAACCCTAGACATGATTGTGATATCTAATTCAGGAATTATGATTCACGTGCAAATGCATAACTCCATAACATAAGGCCTAACACTTCACTCATAATAACTTCACCATATCGGTTGCCATTTCTGGATGAGACCTTATGCAGCGGTTCTCCTGACTTGTTCACCTTGTTTCTAGCCAAGACTGGAGGAGCTTGGAGACTTGAAAGAGCCCCACGGCACAGGGTAGCAGATGTCGGCATGGCTGCACCTCCACCTCTGCTTCCTACTGGTACATCATTGTACTGTGTGAATCCATTTCAACTCTGTGTGGCCCGTTCATTGTGTGTGCACATCGCCCACCTTCGCCCCCCACACACTTTAATTTTTTTTTTCACTTGATAAATAGCCTCATCATTTGAGATCATATGTTTGCTGTTATTGTATTTAATCTGCATGAACTATAATTATCTCCTTTAAATCTTCTGTTGTAGAAGGGGCTCCCCTTTTAATAAGATATGTTTAATAATGATGATGTAATAGAGAGACTTGGGTTGGGGTACTACTGGAGAGATTAACTGCCTTTGGCTGTGTACCCCAAATGGAGCTTTATAATAACTTTTGGAGACCAGATATGATATCCTTGTATGACCAGACATTCCTTCTGCTCGGCCTAAGCCTCTAATATACAGTCTGATAAAGTGTGAATTGATTACCATGGTTGAACTTTTTTTTTTTTTTTAAGTGAACAAATTAGTTGTTTTTAAGTGCCGAAATATAGATTGATAAAAGGTAATGTAAGACAGGACTTAAAGGAGAACTATGAGGTGAGTGATTTCCACTCATCCTCATAGTTAGAGCCGACCTGTGACAAACTGAGAAACTGTCATAGGTCGGCTCTATTGATTGGGAAGTGATCAGAAACAAGCTCCGATCCGCTGACTTCACGATCCTCTCTGCAGTGAGCGGTACTGCTGCCCGCAGGGATTCCCCCCTCCGCTCTCTGATCCTCCAGTGTTGAGTGGAGGAACGAACGTGGGAGGGGGCGGGCACAGCTGGCTCTGCCTCTGCATTTGCAGAGCCAACTTTCACTCGCTCAGCTGGGTGGATCCAGACATTGTCAGGATCAGTCCCGGCTGCGGCACTCTCAGTATACCACAGGCAATAGCCTTCTATATACTGAGATTTGGGTCACGGCAGGAGGTTGGTATATGTCCTCCCGTGACCATAAAGTGAACTATGGGGAAAAACACTTACACCATAATTCTCTTTTAAGCTGACCATACACTCCTCGAACTTCGGCCAAGTCCTGCTCACTCTGAAATTAAAGCTGTGCGGGACTCTGCTGCTGACAACGCTCTGCTTAATAAAAGTCAATTTTTCAATCGACATTTGTTGAAGGAGCTGGGCCGAAAATAGTTAAACAAACAGTGCATTCACAGTTCGGATATTCTGGCAGCTGCAGGTCTTGGCTGTCAGAATGCAATAGCCCGGCAGGGAAGATTACCCCATCCACGCTGTTTAGGCCCTTGCTGTTCTGTGTTTTTAAAGAACAGATCTCGCTTCACCACCAGTGAATATTTTGGTCACATTTATTACTTTATAAATACGCCCCTCAGTGTTTAGCCAGAGTTTGACATTGGATTCTCTAGAGCTAAATAGAAAAATAAAAAAATGTTCTTTTTGTCATTTTGTTATTTATACAGCCTGTAGTTCAAATAGGCTGAACTTGTAGTTTAGAAACTTCTTTAGCGAAGTTTGTTTCCCTGGAAATGCTTTCTTTCTGTAAAACGCATTTATTGAGAAAATAATGCTTTTGTATCATTTCTTTTTTCAGACAATGGTTATTACCTGCCGTACTACAAGAGAGAACGCAGCAAGCGGGGGACTCAGATCACCATTGGGATTCTGGAGAACCCGAACTTCAAGAACATCCGGAAGAAAGATCCCATTCTACTGCTGCACTGGTGGAAGGAGATAGTGGGCACCATCTTGCTGTGTATCGCGGCCACCACCTACGTGGTACGCAAGCTGTTCCAGCCTCACCCACACGGTGTCAGGGTAAGTGCAGTTCCTCATCCTTGGTGCTGGATGCTTTGGCGAGGTGGTGTGTGGATTAATGATCGATTCTGCATTTATGAACTGGCTGGATTCCACACTATATCTGATTAAAAAGAAATCTGCTCCAGTGATCAAATATCAAACTACCATTGTAGTGTATGTGAAAGTATTTTTGGAAGAGACTTAAATGTTTTTTCTTTTTTACAATGTAAATCAAATTTCTTAGATTCTTTCTAAAATTATAGATCAGGGAATGTGATCAGCATCCTTGCTAAAGTATTATCATATTTATTTATGTAGCAATTAAAACTTGAACTTAACAGTTAATATTTTTAACTTTTATTAAGATGAGACAGGAATCTGAGACTCAGTGCCAGACTGACAACAAATACGATTCCGTGAATGGAGACCTTGCTGACAACAGGGGTGAATACAGCTGTGGATACGTGTCACGGTCAGTTTATAATGAAACGTGTACTGATGTACCGTAATCACTACTGCTGTTGGTGATTTTATAAGTTGAGACTTTCTTGGTATACATGGAAATTCCTTAATACTGAATTTATATACAAATGTTTGTAACAAAATGCATAAAACTATGTTACATTACAGTGTGTGATTATATATATATATATAGATAGATATATATATATCTATCTATATATATATATAGATAGATATATATATATCTATCTATATATATATATAGATAGATATATATATATCTATCTATATATATATATAGATAGATATATATATATCTATCTATATATATATATAGATAGATATATATATATCTATCTATATATATATATAGTATTTTTTTTAGATGGCCACCATGTCTTCAGAGCATGTGGATGTGGTTAGCAGTATTGATTTTTTTTTTTCAGTGCATTGATCTAGAATTTGGCTTAACGTGCAAGCAATTGTATGTCCGGTATGGTTTTTGCGTGAGTTTTGTCACACAACCCAGAACATACTTGTCCGTCAGGCTCTGGCCAAATTGGCCCTGGTGCCATGTCTGCATGACAGTGGTGAGGACTAGTGATGAGCCTGGGCTTGGTGCAAACAAAGTTGATCTGAGTTAGCCAAAACCCCCTCAAACCTGTGACTTCCACCCCCTCCTCCCGACCCAGTCAGTTGCGAAGAGGTGCATTACCCCCCTTGCAGGTATACATCACAAAGGGGTGACGAATGCACCTGCCACCACTAATTGGGGTGGGGGGGAGAGCGGCGGTTACAGTTTTTAGTGGACATGGGCAAAATCAAGCCCAGGCTCATCTCTAGTCAGGACATTAGCAAACTCCTTGTTGGAACAGACACTGATATTAATAGTGCATTGCTCTCTCTAAAGTGCTTCAGAATGTATGAGCTGTGTATACATAAAGGAAACTAAGTAGGTGGGCACCAGCTGCAAAGGAAAGGCTCTTGAAATGCTTATATGGCCCTAACAACTTGGGATTTCATTTTTGTACAGCTAACATCAAAGGTGCTTCCATGGCAGCCAGGAAAATTTGGACAGTTCTGGTAGTAACAACAAATTATATGTCAATATCCTGCACAGACATGAAAAGATGCATCATATTCCTCAGAATGGTGGTTTTGGATTAGTTTTTAAATTCATATTTAAATTTGTGAAGTGTTTTTAATATAATAAATATGATCCTCTCTGCTTTTTAGGTATCTCACAGACTTTGAGCCTATTCGGTGTTTAGGCCGAGGTGGCTTTGGGGTGGTGTTTGAGGCCCGGAATAAAGTAGATGACTGCAATTATGCCATCAAAAGAATTCGCCTCCCGAACAGGTAATGATTTTCCCTTTATGAAATTCCTATCAAATCTTGATTATAACTTTCTCTTTGAATTTAATTTATTTATCACAGTTTATTTCATGCTATACATTTATTGCATGTCATGATGAAGGAAAGCAATTAGTGTGACGGTTAATATTTGTTAAGCATGCGGCTTGATTCTGATCAGAGCACTAACAACGCAGAACATGTCTGCTGAATATCCATAGTGTCTTTGCACTATAACTAAAGTTTTTAAAGAATCTGACTATCTCCACTGGTAATGTCCACTGGTAAAAATAACAGAACTTTTCTGCTTCAGTTTGTGTTCATTGAATGTGACTTTACTCTACACTGATCTGTTTATAGGAGACTGGCCAGAGAGAAGGTGATGAGGGAGGTAAAAGCTCTCGCCAAGCTGGAACATCCTGGGATTGTGCGCTACTTTAATGCATGGAAGGAAGAGCCTCCGGAGCTGTGGCAAGAAAAAATGGATGAACTGTGGCTGAAGGATGGAAGGTGTGGACCCTTTATTTTACAAACTTATTCACATTTGTGGGCTAAAAATAAACCGATCCTGATGGTAACAATGGCATTGTCATCTACTGCTTATAGAATTGCTGGTTCCTTGGGTGCCTTGTTTTACACTCCATCTTTACTACTTAGGGAGTACTGACTTGGCTGGCTGTTTCAAGTCCCTGATTAGTAAGGATGTCCCTGGTGGTCACAAAGCTTGCAGTGGCAATGCACATATTTTTGTGTGACTGGTTTATGTTAAACAGCAACTATTAAGATCGTTTGACCCTTTTGTGGTCTGCATCATTCGAATTGCCAGTAGAGCTGTTATCGGAGTGTCTAACCGCTAATGTTCTTGGTTGTGACTTGCACTGAAAATGAATCAAGTATATGAAAAACACCATACACTCCCCTTTTGAAGTAATGCCATCAAAATAACACGTGGAACTTCTATTCTTTTCTTTCTTCCTTCCTTCCACCATACTACACAGTCCATTAAGTAACTAATGAACATATGCAGATATCGAGGATTAAATAGACTGATTCTAAAATAACACAACAGAATTTAAAAAAAGGCCATTGACAAACAGTGGACAGTGATCTACATCTAGTTTCACCCAAAATAGTGATAGTGGGCCTCGTGGCACCGCATACATATTTCAGGTAGGAAGGACTATACACACAGTGCATGCAATGACCCAGAGAACAACATTCCCAGTTACCATGAGTCAAGGATTATATCCTAATTGGGCAAATGCAGCAGTATAGCAAACTGGAAGCCAAAGTGCCCTACTGCCAAGGAGACATTACAAAATAATCTTGGGTACAAGCAGTGCCATATGGTACCTCACCACTACTCCCCCAATAGAAAAGACATGACCAGCTCACTTACAATATGAGACCAAATACCCAGTCGAGCAATACTCTACATTTCAGCATGGAACTACATTCACTAGAATAATATACAGGTTCAAGAACTAATAACAAATTCATCAAACAATGGCCCTCACATAGGGAAGACTGTGTGTCTGCTTTTTGTCTCCGTACATATACACCCCATTTAATCAAGGGGGGCTACAATTTTGATCTCTCCTAAATGCTAGCTCCCTGTCTGTCCTTGATTTGATTTTACTTGTTTGGAACACCTATGCTGATAGGGACTGACACTTCTCTGACTTTTTGGTCTGCCTACTTGTTCTAGGTCGGTGACCAACATTGAAGCCATTGGGTCAACCTAAGAGCCAGGAAGCTGGCATTTTCAGGTGGTCAACAGTGGCAGCCTTATTTACTTATTATTATTATTCGCAATAATGTATTAATTACCATAGATTTACTTTAATGCAGCCATGTTTTTTTCAGGGAAGATCATGCTTTTCTTTTTAAGGTAGGGCATATTGCGTTACATACTGGTTGTACTCAATGGACATGGGTCTTTTTTTTTTTTTTTTCCGTTTCCAACCTGCTTATCAATGGAAGAACCAGCCAGCCGTTTATGATATTGATTACATCAAAAGACTATGTACACTGAGGAACCAAAAATTTTCTTGCCATACAGCTGGTATATATCGGAGTGTGCCTTGAAAAACAGACAACCCTTGTGAATGTTGTGAAGGGGAACTCTCCCCAATTGCTACACTGATTAGCAAACACTCAGACCTTATAGCTTCAAGAAATAGATTTTTTTGGCTGGCCAGCTGGGAACATGCAGTAACTCCTACAAAACACAGACATTTCCCAGCACACTTACTAGCTAGCCTGCAACAAAACAAATTTGCTGTGTCTAACAGTATGCATTAAAAACAGGTTTTTAGTATCAAAACTTTTTGCAAAAAAATATGTGGAAGCCGCACTGCCTCGTCAAGGTTCCTCTGTGTAGTGTGGTCCTAACTCTAATTTTTGTGAGTCTCCATATTGGAACATATTTAGGCAGTTGATAAATTGAATGCAGGTATGCCTGGAGGGAGCCCACTCCTACTTAAAGGGACAGGAACGCACCGGAGGCCCAGCAATCCAAAGTGCAGGCTGGGGCTCCAAATGCATCCCCACACAAAATACAGTCAAGCTGTGAAGCAGCTGTGCATGCAGCAACTCGGACACATTCAAATAATATGGTCTTGCAGGCCCCTTTTTTTTATAGGATTTTGAATAGTAGAACCATCTGTGTTACCTTGAATTATCTCCACAAATCCGATAATAATGACACCTGTACTCCTATTTAATTGGGCCAGGATCATTAGATGGGTCTTCTTGTCTTAAGACTCCTTCATATCACGGTTAGAGGACAGCTGTCTTGACATTGAACCCATTGCTCATTTAGCCAAGGTCCCTCATATCAAGATTGGAAGACAGATGTTCATTAACCCCTTCATGACTGAGGCCCTTTTTTCAATTTTTGCACCCATGTTATAAGTCAAAACACATGTTTATTATTTTATGTTTGAACTCTTCTTACCTCGCCCTATGCGGCATAAATGTTCTACATGAACTCTAGTTACATCCATCTACAAAGTTCAATGTTCTACATGAACTTGGTTAACCTCGACAAAAAAAAGCGAAATGTTCCACATGTTGCTTATTCATACAACTCATATATATGGTGTTTCCATGATATAATTTTGCATGATAAAAAATGGACACTTGCGTATAAACCACAATTTATAATAAGTTCATTAAGTGACATTTTAAGCTAATTAACATGGTAGAAGATTGACAGTGTGGTTCAGCTGGGATCATCAATTTTCCCTATACACCCTAAGGCCTGGTTCACACCTGAACGTTTTGTAGCGCGTTCAACGCTCGACGAACGCTCAAACATCTGAATCCCATTGTATTCAATGGGTCTGGTTCACACCTTGCCGTATTTCCGCCTGTACGAACGCGATACAAAACGGCCTACGCCAAAAGAAGTACATGTACTTCTTGGGGGCGTTTTGGTCTTGCGTTTCCATTGGGATACAGCCAAGTAGCCCTCGGAAACGGGCGTTTGTCGCACGTTTTTTTACCGCGCGACAGATGCGCATATTCAATACGCCTAGGTGTGAACCCAGCCTAAAGGATTCTGAAGTGTAGGTAAACTAACCGGAAGAATAAACGTAATGAGTAAACAAGAGGAGTATGAAGAGATGTTGGCAGTAAATCAGAGGTTTGGATATAATGGAGGAGTGAACAGAATAGTGCGCAAAGTATGAAAAAAGTAAAATCACTCGATGTGTTTTCAATAAGAGTATTGAAGGGTAGACATGTAGCACAGTAAAAGTGGGTAGCGGTTATTACTACTATGCATTCAGTAACTAATTTATTTTGTTTTATTTTTTTTTAGTACGGATTGGCCCTTCAGCTCCCCCACTCCGGTAGATGGGCTTTCTATCAAAATTCGGAGTAGTGATGTTCACTCCGTGAAGGAGCATGTAGAGGTCTTCACCCCTTCATCAGAGAGCCAGAGCTCCCTATCCACAGAGTTTGTTGCCGTTAATGCCGGTGCACATCGGAGACGGTCGTTTCCTCACCATTTTTCTACTGACAGTGACCTCAACGGGTCATTTGAGGCCATGGTGAATCTGCAGGACAGTTCCCTCACAGACTGTGATCTGGATCACAGTGCAATGGATGGTGGTAAGGATGTTGTGTATGGATACAACCCTCGGGGAAGACAGGACATTAGCTACCATGAGAGGACATCATCCTCCATTGTGTTTGAAGACTCAGGTTGTGATAACGCCTCCAATATTGTTGACAATAGAACGGACGTGTCTGTCGTTGTTACAACCAGTGATTTCTCGCACAGAGACTCTGGAACGAAGGACTCCATTGAAAGTAAACCCACTTCCGCAAGCACTTTGTCAACGTCTCCACCCAGACCAAAAACCTTAAACTTGGACCTCACTAAGAACACTACAGAGAAGCTGAACCCCAGCTCTCCCAAGGTGTACCTCTACATTCAGATGCAGCTGTGCCGCAAGGAGAACCTCAAAGACTGGATGGAGGCACGCTCCACATTGGAGGAACGGCCTCAGGATGAAAGCCTCCATATTTTTCTGCAAATTGCAGAAGCCGTTCAGTTCCTACACAGCAAGGGTCTGATGCACAGGGACCTGAAGGTGCGTACTAGTCTTATTGTCCTGACCTCATACATTGAAAACATATATGCTTTTTTTTCATCTGGTTATTATTGTGTTAATGTAACTTCAGTATAAAGTAGTTCCATTTTGTGGTGACTTTTCTTTACCATTTACATAATAACTCTTCACTTCTTTCACATTCAGCGGCCAGATCTCACCTGGCACCTTTAGCCAATGTTAGGAGCAGCTTTTTGTGCTGCTCGATTCTCCATTTTATTTTTATTTAACAGTATGGGAAATCCAACAGGAGGAGTGTGACTCCTTACTTGGGTTTGTATGCACAAATTCAAAGATAAAGACCAGACGCTGGTAAATTTATTCATCAGGAAAACATAACAAAACGTGCCGATCTGGGGCCTCCTCCTCTGACCCTCTTCACCCACAAGGCTGGGCTTAATCGTAGACAGGCGTCTACTATTAAGTCCCTCCTTGTGAGTGAAACGCATTCGAGGAGAGGGTTCCAGACGGTGACTTTCTGTTCATGTTGTCCTGATGAATACGGAACAAACTCTGCCGAGCTAATAGCAAAACGTCACTTAAATCCTTGTGTACAATGTTATAACTAGGGATGCATCGATATATTGGCCGCCGATACATATCGGCCGAAAATGGCACTATTGGCTAAATGCCGAAACTGCAATTTTCCTCCTGATACATCGCCGCATCCCAGGTTTCTTTCCTCCCCGCTGGGCGCTGCTCTGTGTCCCAGCGAGAGGAGAGAAAGTGACGGCCGAGCGCTGCGGGAGGAGAGCGCTGTGAGCGGCCGGTGTCTCTCCTCCTATCACAGTCCGGCAGAGCGATGTGTGGGCGGAGACAGCCCTCGCTGTCAGAGGAGGCTGGGTCTCCTCCCGCTCCGCTCACTCAGGCTCCTGTGACCGTGTCAGAGAGGAGAGCGAGAGCAAACACTCAGCGATCAGTGTTTAGACCCCTAATATTTCCCCGAAGCCCCCAAAAGTAAATTAAAAAATATTTAATAAAATTAATAAACAAAAATAAATATTACAAAAATTAAAGTTTATAAAAAATAAAATATTTTTGAAAAATTCAAATAAAAACATTTTCGGTTTGGGCCTGACATTTTTTTTGATTTTTGTTTCGGTTTTCAAATTTCTATTTCGGTGCACCTCTAGTTATAACACAATGATATAATATTGCACAATCACCATAATAATGTGGACGGCCCAAAGTATTTCCAGTGCTCAAGGAAAGAACAAAGTGACTGAAGTAAGATGTATAATCAAAGAAATCCAAATCTTCAACTCTTCTGTGAAGTTCAAAGAGGGGTGTTTTCGTTTGAACTTCACAGAAAAGTTGAAGATTTGGATTTCTTTGATTACACATCTTACTTCAGTCACTTTGTTCTCTCCTTCAGACTTTGGACTGGGCATTTATTATTATGGTGATTGTGCAATATTATATCATTGTGTTTATAACATTGTACACAAAGATTTGAGTGACGTTTTGCTATTAGCTTGGCATGTCTTGTTCCATATTTGATTCACTTTTTAAGTTTTCACTTAGATTAGCACTTTGCATCTGGGGATATTGGGTTTGGCGTGAGATATTGCGAGTTTTTGTCCTGAAGAATATAGTTACCAGCACATGGATTTTTTTGTTCAAAGGTAAACCGTTTTTTTTCCCCCTTTTTGTGCAGTCTGTGAGGTATAAGGCAATTCACTGCTTAGTATTGTGAGTTTTTTTATTGTTACTAGTGGGTTAAATAATTTTGAAGAATGCCAGGAATTGTTTCATTAACCCTTGCAGTGGGGCTACCCCCTGCACTGCAAGGGTTAAGTGCTTGTTTGTGTCTCGGTGGTAAAATAACAAAGGTATACTCGGCCAAAGCTCCAAGCCGGTCAGCTGTCACCCGCTCCCTCCAGCCTGTTTTATACACGGATTCTCATGTATAAAGCTGCAGCATCCTTTGGCTTTGCTTCGACATTTATGAAGAGAAAACCACTAAATACAGAGTTGATGTACATATGAGTGGCTTTACCTGCCAAAGGCTTTGTAATTATGTGCAGCCAGTCTTGTGATCCAGACATTCCTACCAGATAGCCCAGGCGGGTACTGCACTCCCTAAAGCAGGCCATACACCTACAGATTATCTGCAGATTTTCTATGGACAGATGGAAAAAGTGCAACACATTACTCCATCTACGCTAAACTGTGTGGTAGAGGAATCTCCCGATGGGCCAAGCTTCAGTATCTTGCTAGTCGGCCCCGCTGGCTCTCAAACTACCTGAACAATCTGATTGGATGCGGCATTGTTCAAGTATTTTAAGAGCCAGTGGGGCCGCCTAGCAGGATACTGAAGCTTGGCCCAGTGGGAGATTCCTCCATCCACACAGTTTAGCGTAGATGGAGGAATCTGTTGCACTTTTTCCATCTCACCATATAAAATCTGCAGATAATCTATAGGTGTATGGCCAGCTTAGGACCTTTCTGCCTCTGATACCGCAGCTGAGTAATTCAGCCTAGTCTCAGACTTGCCCTTTCCTGTGTTTGGACAATAAGGGAGCAACAGCTCACGGATGTAATCCTCACCCTGCACATGTGCTCTGTAACACAACCTGGTTGGCTCCTAGTGATGCCCTTCCCTCTCCCAGTCCTAATCTGCTGAACAGGGAACTACAGCAGTTTGACTTTCAGGTAGTTTTGCCAAACTGTATGTGAAACATGTACTTAGACACCATAACTGGATACAATTGCTGCTTCTGTAATATCTGCCTTGTGTACAGGGTGAAAGTTATTCCATAATGTGTGATTTATTTTACTGATTTATTATTTCAAGATTCACAACACAGAACCATAATGTGTGGGCCGGCCCCTTTTTTAGTATCATTACTGTTGTGAAGTTCTGCTGTCTCTGGGAGGTGTATTGGGGGGACAATGATTTGCTGCACTACAAGTAAAGTTTGTCTTTTTTTTCTTTTGCTGTTTACAGCCTTCCAATATATTCTTTACAATAGACGATGTAGTAAAAGTTGGGGACTTTGGGCTAGTAACCGAGATGGACCAGGAAGACGATGAAGAAGCAGCTTTGACGCCAATGCCGGCATATGCTCGACATACTGGGCAAGTCGGGACCAAACTGTACATGAGCCCAGAACAGGTATGTGGAAATTGTTTTGTTTTGCTGCTTACTTTGAACGGTGAAGCTGACCAAGAGATTGTTACATAGTTGTTATTATTATTACATAGTATTTATATAGCGCCAACAGTTTGTGCAGCGCTTTACAATATAAGGAAGACATTACAGTTACAATACAATTCAAGACAAGATGGTAAGGAGAGACCTGCCCCTGAGAGCTTACAATCTAAAAGAGGAGGGGGAAATGATACATGTGGTAGCTGTGGGAATGAATTATGTGAGAATAGTTACATAGTATTTGAGGTTGAATAAAGACATAAGTCCATCAAGTCCAACCTATTGTGTAAGTCCAACCTATTGTTAAAAGAGAACTATGGGGAGAGTGAAATGCACTCATTTCCATAGTTGGAGCCAATGTGTGACACTGCAGCTGTCATACGCCGGCTCTATAGATCGAGAACTGAGCAATCGTAAAGCGATGTGCTCTCCGCCACCATTCTTTTCCCTGCAGAGAGTGGTGACCGTCAGTTACGGCTCCCCGCAGGTATTCCTCCCTCCCCTCTTCTTTCAGCACTGGAGGGACAGACAGGGAGGGGGTGGGCACAGCTGGCTCTGGCTCCAGAGAGGCAGAGCCAGCTGTCAATCAGGTAGTGGGGTGGATCCTGACAATATTGGGATCCTTCCCAGCTGCAGCGCTGTCAGCATATAGCGGGAAATGGTCGCCTATATCCTGAGTTTTGGGTCACAGGAGAACATTAGTAAATGGCCTCCTGTGACTCAAAAGAGAGTTGAAGCCAAAACGTTTGGTCACAGTTCTCTTTTAAGCTCTTTTTACCTACAGAGGAGGAATGTTCACAGATGTATCGTGCTCATTTCCTGATGTTGGAGCCTTCTGCTGAACTGAGATGTACTGGATATTAGGGGTTGTGCTGCCATAGAACTAAATGGGTATCTTTGGTAGAGCCTGCTGGCATCTAGTCTATCACCACACGACAGTAAGGTCTTCTTCAGTAAGGTCATAGCATTCAGCCCTCTCCTTCATTATGAGCTGAGATCTATAGATCACTGAACAGCCCAATTCTCTGTTACTAAATGAAGAGTTTTGCTTTTTCCTGAATATTCCCCTTTAATGTTCACTTGAGCATTGGCATTTTGTTATAAAGTCTCTCAGGGACATTTTATTAAGCAAATTGGCAACAAGTCAAAGCAGCAGTGACATCAACACTCTGCTGCACGTAGCCTGAGCAGTGCTGTGGCAGGGACCCAGCAGGATCCACCCACTACAGACTTCCTGCAGAAAACTACAGGAGGGGGCGGAGACAAGACCAGTCACCCTGCACATGTAGAGAGAGCAGCAGTGACCGGTCTTTGTCACCGTAAGCTCTTGCTCATAGGCAAAGTTTCACACTGAATTACTGCACAGATCTGGAAGAAATACACAAAGCTCACCAATATAAGTGTAAGAACAGACATGATATTTGCTTTTCCTGGAGGTTGGCTTTAAGTGATCTGATTCTGATCTGATTCTGGTAGCTGCTGGCAAGCTGAAATGTAGCCAGCATGCTTCTGGTTTCCCTAAAGACACAAGTGGGGAGATTTCCTGTTCTTCCCACTGGCCAGTGCCAAAGCCAGATGAATAGAAAAGGAAACTGAATTATCAGAGAAATGTTTTATTTATGGATATAGTGGGGAGTGTAGCGTCCCTCCTTGTCCCAGCGATAATGGGCACCATTTTTAGAATTGGCCAACATAAGCACATGGAAAGGCGCAAATCGACCAAAGTGTAGTAAAATATAAAACCTTTAATGAAGAACAAATGATTGCACTTACAAGTCTCTGCGTGTGATTAGCAGAGATGGGTAGCAGTGCACAACTTCCTGTGGCCAGCACCTGTGTGATCTATAAAGTTCATCCTGCATCCCCAGCAACACCAATACACCATTTGTACCCGGAAGAGGTTCTCTGTCTTGGACTGTGAGGATTTCGCAGCAGCTTGCTGTACTTCTGCCACTGGTAACGTTTTCATGGTACTGCTTGGCACTTCAGTCAGGAATCCAGGATGATCTTTTTAGCTCACACAGCCCCACTGTTGGCCACAGGGAGCTCTGCACTGCTGTCCATCTTCAAGGTGATTTGATACCTTGTTTGCTTAGACTACGTTTCCCTGACCTATGTGAAGAAAGGTTGCAGAACCACTGCTGACATAAGGATTCCAACCTCATTATTAGGATACTGGGCTTGCAAGGCGTGGCTTTGTTTTTTTGTTTTTTTACAATTTTCTACAGGTTTTTTTGGGTGGATTACTGGGGAGATTCCCTGTGCTTCCTGTCCCCCTGAAGGGGCTTACTAGGACTTCTTCCACAACACCTTTGAAACTTACAAGGCTATTCACCAAAGGGTGAAGAGTTTGGAGAAGGCAGGAGAAGTGAACAATCTAGTACAACATGGCTGAACTGGAAAGTGAGCTGAATTGGAGGATTTTTTACAAACCAGCGATGTTGTCCTAGATTGTTCACTTCTCCTGCCTTCTCCAAACTCTTCACCCTTTTGTGAGTAACCCTGTTAGAGTTCCTATGGCTGCTAGACAAACATGGACATCAGAGAAGGCAATGGGTAGAATGGTTTATGGTCTGCATTTAGCCATATGATTTCCCTGGCTATCCTCCTTTTACCATTGCATAAGCATGGATTTAATCTTCTCCTGTCTTCCCTATGTACTGTTTTGCTGAAATGTCAGGCAGCCTGTGTAAACTTTAGCAGCCTGTGTGGCCTCTCAGCTGTGGAGTAATGTATCTGTCTCATGCCCCCAGCTGGGATTGGCCAGTCTATGGTGGCACTCTATTTAAACATAATCAGCCAGTGCCGCAGGGCTTGTGATAGCGATTCCTGGATGATCAAGAGCACTTCTGTGTGTTTTGACTCCGGACTGACCTTCGGCTACATTTGTCGGATTCTCACTTGTCTGCTACCTGTCTTGACATTTTGCTTCGTTAGCAGACAAAAGGATATCCAGCAACCTGCCCTGACCCTTGGCTTCATTTGCTGGATATCCCTTTGTCTGCTGCCGGCCCTGACCTTTTGCTTTTGTTTGCTGGATATCCCTTTTGTCTGCTACCTGTCTTGACATTTTGCTTCGTTAGCAGACAAAAGGATATCCAGCAACCTGCCCTGACCCTTGGCTTCATTTGCTGGATATCCCTTTGTCTGCTGCCGGCCCTGACCTTTTTCTACGTTTGCTGGATTCCTCTTCTACTTCAGCTCCCACCTTCCACTGCCCTACACCACCTTTACTCTGCGGGTCCGTAGTGACATCCACAGCCAGAGCATATAGTTCAACTCCTGGGGGCAACAGAGTACCAGTAACCGCACAAGCCTTGAGGGAAAAGTGGCTGCTAAAGGTGAAACGCAGCATCACTATATACTCGGACCGGGGTGTTTGCATATGAGCCCTTACATGAAGTCGAAATCTCATCTTTCATGACTTCTGAAAATATGATGCAATGATGATCATTTTCCTCTAGATGGCGCCGTTTCCTCTCATGGAGCAAATATCTACACTGATCAGCACCATTCATACATACACAGGATTCTTACTATAGTCCCCTGACAAAGACTGTAACAAAGCCACTGTATGTGATCTACATAGTAACAGTGTACATGTTTTCTAATAAAAGGGTAGTGATGTCTATAGTATTCTAGATTGCAGGTTGCCCGTTCCTTTATAAATGGCTAAAATTGATGACTAAAACAATACAGACTAATGATTTCAGGACAGGGGTGGAGTGCCAGAGCCCGGTCCCAGCTGCAACCGCTGCAACCCTGGTAGATGGTACATGAAAATGCCAAGTATCTGCACTGGTACTCAAAAAAGTATCTGTGCATCCCTTTATATGGCCGGGAGCTTAACACAGTCAAGCGATCGAGCGTCTCTATAGATGCTCGATCACTTGTATCAGCATCTGTCACTGCTGTGTTCGGTCCCGAGATCCTCTGTGACAGGAGATCAAAGGGAGTTCAGTACACGAACTCCCTTTGATCTCGGTAGCAGCATTTGCCCTGTGATGTCACAGGAAACATGTGACCAGGAAGCAGGAAATAATTAGGCGGAGCTGCTATACAGTGAGGAGGCTGCAAGCAGATCACACGTGTTTTTTCCCCAGTAGGTCTCCCTCTGTCCATCTTCTTTTACATTATATGCTCTCTGTGTATTTTTCTCTGTATACCCTCTCTCTCCCTGTATACCACATCTCTGAACCGCGGCGCTAGGGGTTTGCGTACGACGGCACCAGTGGAGCAGCCGCCCCGACGGAGGGTGCCGCCCTAGGCAAACGCCTAGTTTGCCTCGCGGTAAATACGCCCCTGTATATATATGCTCAGAGCAGTTTTCTTTTCATTTCCACCTTGTATCAAAACGGGAAATTATCCTGCAACAGAGATTTAGCTACTTTACTTATAATTCTTTTTTGCTTCTGTTGACGATTTACAATACCCTGAACCCCACATCATCTGTTCTGTGGAATCCTGAAGTAGGAAGCTGGAGATGCAGCTAATGAAAGCAGTAATTCTGGCAATCTCTATGAATAGGAGGCCTCTTGGTGTTCCTTATATTTTGAGTTGGCTGTAAAGTTATTGTTCTGTCCCCCGTAGGTTCTTGTTGGGACACTGCCGGGGAAGATACTTACTGGTGCTATCTAAAATAATGTCTTTGATGGCTGAATTATTATGTAAATCGGTTAAAATGATCACAGCGCTTTCCTGCATCTCCAACAAAGTAGATTACAGATGTACCACATAATGTAGTTTACATAACAAGCTGTAGGCTTGAGAAAAGAAATAAATTTTAAATACAAACTTATAAACGTTTATTTGTAATGTAGCCCATAAAATGCTGCTTTTTGCCCAAAATAATGAGGTGAACATGATGAACCCTGATCATGTACTAGAAGAGGTCCCTGTCTGAGTAAGCTGACATTTGAAGGGGATTTCTAAAACGTTTTCTTTCATCTGGATCATTAGATTTGCAGCAGTTGTAAATCGAATGGGAATGGACTATTTTTGTAAACGTATATTCTTTTCTATCAATAGATATTAACCGACATCCGCGATTTGAAGTTTCCTGCCTTGTTTACACAGAGATACCTGCAAGAGGTAAGCAGAGCACGTAAAGTATGTAGACCAGTGGTGGGCATATTATGTAGAGTCCTGTTTCTCCTTAAAGGGACTGTATAGTTGTTTTTTGTTTGTTTGTTTTTTATTTAGTATGTTTTGACTAATGATTTACAATTCAAAATGCAAACATGAATTATTGCATTTAAGAACCTTTTTCATTTGTTTTCCTGTATCTTCTTACCTCCTGCTAAGACAGCCAGTTTAGAGAGCTCAGTAGCTCCAGCTGAACTTAAAGGAGAACTACTGGGAGACTCTTCCCAATAGTTAGAGCCGGCGGGTGACACTGCAGCGGTCATACACGGGCTCTATAGCTCAAGAACTGAGCTCCTGATTTCTCCCTGCAGAGAGCGATGATTGTCAGTCACTGCTCCCCGCTGGGATTCCCCCCTCCCCTCTCTCTGTTCCTCCAGCGCTTATTGGAAGGACAGACTTGGAAGGGGGCGGGCACAGCTCTAGAGAAGCAGAGCCAACTGTCAGGCAGCGGGATGGATCCCAACAGCAGCTCCGCGCTGTCAGCATATAGTGAGCAGTAGCCTGCTGTATGTCGCAGGGTTACATTAGTAAATATCCGCCTGTGACCCAAAAGAAAACTAGAGCCAAAAAGAGGTTTGCCTTTAGTTGTCCTTTAACGCTCAACATGAGGCATGGCAAGACTGATAGTTACAGGGGAGTCCAAGTTGCCCACCCCTGCTCTAAAATGTTCTGTCTCCTACTTTATTTATTTTTATGAGAATAAAGAAGTGGCAGAGGTGATGGGCATATGACACTTGTACAACACATCTGTACTGTCTTTGCACATGTGTGAACTGTTCGTCATCCAGACATGTTTGGCTGACAGAGAAATCTTCTGTGACACACAATCTTGGTTTTGTATCTGAATAGTCGCGTGTAGTTTGATTGATATAATGGCTCCATCCACATTCTAAGTATAACCTAAATGTCTCTGTCCTCCTTACAGCAAACCATGGTCCAGCATATGCTCTGCCACAACCCCAGTGAGAGACCCGAGGCGGAGGAAATAATAGAAAACCCTTTGTTTGAGAGTATAGAAGTTCCTGGCAAACTGACTCTTAGACAAAGATCCCGAACACTGAGCACCTCAGGTCTGAAGAATCTGAAGAATTCCATCAAGTGAACACACCTCGTATAAATTCCGTGTCCGACAAGAATGACTGCCAAACCGGACTGTATCAGTTATGAGGTTGTTTCCAGTTTCCGCAAGAAAAACGTTTCTTTTTCAGCAGATTCCACCTTTCTGTACCACAAATCTCTCAGTTTAAAATGGTTAAACAGATGTCACGATGTTGGAAATGACGACTTGTGGATCTCAATGGACCTGGTGACATTCTGATGGTGCGAATTTAAAGTTGGACTTTGACGTTTGTCTTCAGAAGACGAGGCACAATTATTGTTAAGGATCACTGTGTTCTGTGTATATTGGGCCTTATTTGACAAAGTGTCATAGGAAGTGTCTTTTGTTGCATTTAGCTGTCAGCCATTGTCTTTTTCCTTTCATTCCCAGTGCAGGAAGGGAGATTGTAGACCATTTTCAGCCGAGTTATTCTAATACTTACATTAAAGGCATAGTCCACCTCGTGGAAAAAATAAATGCACACACATTGATGAAAGGAAGTAGAACTCCAGGGAACAATGTGTATTATCCCTTGAAGTGGGGCTGCCCCCTCACTGCAAGGGTTACCTGATCGTTTTTGTCTAGGTGCTAAAAAAAAAAAAAAAGTTACTCACCTGAAATGCAGAGATGACTCCATGCTTCTCTGGTCCTCATGTCTATACACTTGTATGAAACATGATGACACAAGGATTCTCTGGAGAGGAGGAGACGCACTAGGGACCAGTCTAAGAAAAAGCCAGCTCAAATAATCAAGTGATTTATAATTTAGCACCTAGACACAAACGAGCAGTTAACACTTGCAGTGTGGGGGAAGCCTCACTGCAAGGGTTAACACAAATTTTAACCAGAGGTGTTCTTTAATTCTATGCATTGGAGCCAACAAAGCATTGCATTGCCATTCAATGAATCGCCAGACTGTTCCTCCAGCCGCAAGTCCGTATGGGGCTGGAGGAAGTGATCAGTGGACTACAAGTGCAATTACCTTTACTGCACTTGTGCTTCAACGAAAATCTACATGTCTCTTCTGTGGTGGCAGATGGTCGTCTTGAATTGATCTGTGAATCAATGTAGTTGTGTCGTCAGATCCACACACAGCCATGCCAATTTTTAAACTAAGTAGAAGCCTGTGGGGAGAAGCACCCTGCAATTCAGATAAGTAGGGGGATAGGGAAAGTGACAATGTTTTATATTAAACCCTAAATGTGGGTCACAAACATGGGCTGTTGTTTTAAGGCTAAATTGCAGGCAATTGGCAAAATCCACACATGGAATTCATATATGAGAGCTGTTTTACCTGCCAGAGGATATGCATTTCTGTCCATCCCTTTTTTTTTTAGATTTGTACAGCCCTATAACAAATGACAACACATTTTCCCAGAGTAATAGATTGTAGAAGGGATGCAGTGGTGTTTTCTCCCCACCTCCAGCCTTCTAATTGGACAGTGAAAAGAGAGAAGATTGAAGTGGTCATCAAACACTGCGTAGAAACAAGCTTTTTCAAACTTTATTCCATTGATAGTGATTACATCAGACTGATAGCTTTCAGCAGTGTCAAAATGTCTAGAAGGAGAAATGGCCTCTGGCTAAAAGCCATTGTACATGGCGTGCCTATAAATACCTCGGCCTCTGGGTTTCTCATGTCCATGCTTGACCTGCATTGCCTTTGCAGTTTGCACCATGCAGAGATAGAACTTCAATCACTTCAATGGCACTTCTTGTGCTGACCAGATGAGACACAGTAGGCCTAAACAGTCCCATTCGCAGGTGGAATTTCTAGGACGGCAATGGACTTGAGATCTGTTGGAACCTTAGCATGGCATTTCATTGCACTCTTGTCTTATAACAATGGCATTTACCCAGGAGGCATTTCTTCTTCGATTTCTAATGATTCCTTTGAAATGATGAGATCCGTTTCTTCTTTGGACACTTTAATAAATAAGGCCCTTTCTGTTGCATAGAAGATAGTCTCTAGATTTGTTAGTTGGTCTTTTGTTTTGTATCTATTTTTACACAATGTAAAGAACAACTTTTGTGATGGGGGTAGGTGATGATGGGGGTACTTAACTGTATACTAGAACAAATATTTTTCTAATTTTGGAATCGAAGCACAGATCCGGGAATGTTTTGTTGTAAACTTTACCAGGAAAGTGGGTTCTTTTTGTGATGAATAAGTCATGAGGCCCCTCACACTACTAGTGCTCCATGTTCCTGAGTACTGGCCGCCGTTTCTTGGTGTGCTGGTGCTGGTCATTGTTGCTTTTCTTGAAAATGAAGCTTGTCGGGTCACTAGGAGCTAGTGACAATACTGAGCCGTTGGTCAATTTATGCAGAAAGGGAATTGGGAAGGTGTTGCTCATAGCAACCAATCAGATGTTCCCATTTATCTGCTCGCAGATACTACAAGGCTAATAACTGCAATTGAATTAGTTCCAGTGGTAACGCAGACCATTTTGGCTATTGTGTATGAGACCTAGTGGGGCAATATATGAAAATGTCTGCATGGGTAGGTGGACAAATTACTATGGAATTCTGGAACCAATCTGTTCAACACAAGAGCCAGCAGGATTTGTTTAGGAGTCGGCTCCATTACTGACTAGGTAATACCTCAAACGACAGGCTCCAACTGTAATTTTTAAGGAACATTGGTGACCCGACTCCTGGGGTTTGTCCAGCTCTGCTATAAAATATCATCTGACATTTGACATGGTCCCTGCGTTGTTTCTGCTATGGCATCCATTGGCAGTTGTAAGGTTTCTACTTAAATGTCAGGTGACCTTTCAGAAATTGGTGCTGGCAGGTTGCCCCTTTTAACCAAGATGGTCTAGTAGATGACACATCTATTGACCAAGAGTAGGAGCTGGCGTTCCTACTTCCTGACCGTAGAAGCCCCAGGTGGCACATCTGCTCGATTGGGCATTTTAGGTTCCTGTACACAGTGGCCATTATCATCATCAAAGGTAAGCTGGCCATGTTGGACCTCATTTGTGTAAGATCACCTCATGCATAGGCCGTTTTTGAAATCTGATAGACCAAAATCATCAGATAGTGATTCATTGAGGTGCTACATTCAGTTGGTTTCATGACCACATGACATTGGTTTCATGGCCACGTTCATTAATCTTGGGTTGGAGCTAGTCTTGCATGAAAAGCACACATTGGTAAAAGCTCCAGCTGAAAAAGTTGATGGAAAAGAAGCTTTTTAAAGTAGAACTTTAAAAATTTGTTTAGTTTGGATAGAGAAAGGGAGGGCTATAACCCCCTTTTTTTTGCCATCAGTGCCTGTCCAGTAGACACTACAAGAAGTGAGAGGAAATCCCTGGTGGTCAGAAGGGTTACTAGAACTAGTGGTGGAAGATTTCCCATCTATTGCTGTTCTGATGACAACCCAAACATTGGGATTTTCTTTCACTTTTAGGGATAACGTTCACCAGGACAAGTGGGAAGGGTGAATCTCCCCAACGGGAACACAGACGGCAAGAGGAACCTGTCAGGTGTTCTAATCCCTCTCCACTCTATCCAAAACTTAGTTTTGGCTTTCGTTGCCCGTTAGATGTTTATGATGTTGTTGTTATAAAAGCTCTAAGGCCATGTTGGGTAATAGCACAGGATGGCAGGACTTCCCCAGTTTGTCCCACTCCTGGTGGACTCTGTCTCCAGCTGGTCACCCAGTGGATGGTCTCTTTATGAGTATGTCACTTCCTGTGTGCTGAGGATGTCACTGGTTGAATGTGATTTGAGTAGGCGGATTACTGATGAAGCAAAATGGCTGCTCTGTTGTCTGAACATGTCAGGCAAATGTACGTTTTAATTTGCTTTGTATCATTTAATACATTTTTGGATTGGGTGAATGCTGCTGTAATGTCGTTTGTCGTAGCTTTAAAGCTGCACAAACCTTTCACTAAACTCCTGAGACTTACTCATGTATTTTATATGTAGTAGACACTTCGATGTGTAACCAAACTTCTGTTGTTGAATATTCGTGTGTATACTGGACAGGACCTGTGCTACGTGACACCAAATCTAAGCTGGCCGTACAACTATAGATTTCTTTTGTTCCGTCTGTGGTCTAAACAAAGAATCTTACTGGTTCCCCCGTCCATGCTGCCAGGCTATTCCGATAGTGGGGGCCCACTGTTGGCTAGGATTCCCAAACAGGCGACTGCAGCTCATTGGCCAACAATTTCCCATCCCGCTCTTGAATAATTGACTTTTGTAGAGCCTTTTGTCCTGAGTCCTGCCACCTCAGCTGAAAGTGGAGCCGTGTATGGCCAGCTTAAAGGGTAATTCCCCCCCCCACATTTTCTTACATTTGGTGAGGACAGAAGTATATGAGCTACCATCGCTGACCTGTAAAAGGAGCAAGCTCCAGGGCCCTCACATGCTGACTTGGTTTGGGTAGTAAAAGCAGGATCCAGAATCCGGATGGCCACACAATTTTGTGCCCTTGTTCCTGAAAACGTAAAATCCTGAGTTCAGCACTTCTTGGTTTCTGTGACCCAATGAAACTGCGGTAGGAGGTTACTAATTGATGACTGGTCCCTGAGGGTTTCCAAGCACGACCTGTGAAACCAGCAGAACATTTTACACAGCGCACTGTTCTAACACTAAGAACCATTTACCATTCGAAAGTTGGTGGAAACGTATTTTTATAGTGTTTTTTTTTTATCCTTTTACCTCCATAGTTAGTGTTGGCAGAACTTCTTAGGGGAAACCCTCGCCTGCATCGTTCAGCTATATCTAGACACCTTCCGGTTAGCTTTGCACAGAATACGTGATTCGGTTATTGCCTTATCTGCAATCAAGCTGATTTGATCTGCATTAATCGTGTAAATTGCACTAGAACACTTACTGCAGACTGTACATTTTACAGCACAGTTACTTGTAAGACGTTGAATGTTTTGTATATTTGTGAATTGTTTTGTTTCAGTTTTTGTTATTTGTATTTTTCTTAATGCGTTACAAGCTTTGTACCAATGCAACAGGGCCGGCAGCAGGCTAACTCCAGCCAGGGAAGAATTACAAGGGCTCAGTAGGGATCATCAGACTTGCTGGGACTTGTAGCTGTTCTTGGCTT